CCCCCCACTTTTGGTTACAGCGCAGTCTGAGAAGAGAGGTGCAGTCTGTCTTTGTGGGTGGAGCTCTGAAGTACCACGTAGAGAGCAGCACCCTCTGCTGGCCTTGGGTCATCTCCTCCATCTGGATCCTGGAACAGCCCACCTATAGGGCCCCTGCTCTAAGTCCCCGAGTCCCAGCTGAGGGAGTGTGAGGAGGCTGGAGAAGGGGACCTGGGCACGCCCGGGGGAGGAGCCTCACTGCTGTGACCTGCCAGGTCTGTTTGGGCCTACTGGGGAGGCACCAGCCACTGGGGAGGCACCAGCCACTGGGGAGGAGGTGACTCTTTCTGTGACTCCTTAGTGCCTTTGAGGTCTGGCCTTGTTTCCCCGTCACGTTCCTCTTCCCTTCTGCCCTCGCTGGGGGGAGGATTCCATGATGGACGTTAGGCTTCGCCAGTATTCCTGCAATACAGTGTACCGCGGTATTGAGGGAACCCTCCCACTGAATTTCATCATTTGAAAATGCAGGAATAGCTTTGCTTTTGATAATACCATCAAAATACCTTATACCGCGGTGTGGTGTCGGTATGACGGAATGGGGTTTAGATACCGCAGGAGTCTTGTGGATGGGTAATTTTATGAAAAGGCTCACAGAGGAGGTGAGGAAGGCAGGTTGGGGGTTGAATAGATCGGGTGCGTGTATGGGTGCTCCAGGGAACTACTCAGACTACAGCTACAGGGCTACAGGCTACAGGGCTGCAGGCTACAGAATACAGGCTATAGGGCTACAGGTTACAGGCTACAGGGCTGCAGGGCCATGGGGCTGCAGGCCGCAGACTACAGGGCTACAGGCTATAGTGCTGCAGGCTACAGGGCTACAGGCTATAGTGCTGCAGGCTACAGGGCTATAGACTGGTCAGCATAGAGTAACTGACTACTGGTATCATATTAGGGTAAAAAAAATTGACAGCTAAAGTCTTATTCTTCTTAATGGCCAGTAACTGGATTAAGCTAATATAACTTTGAAATAAATAGCCCATGTAATATGTATTTATATTAGGATGATGATTCACAGTGGGGTTATAGATAAGTGAAATATTTTTATTTTTTTCAGTTTGCTGCAAAAAATGATTATGATTATTTAAATTTTGTTCCTTTATCGCATTGCCAACGCGTGATGCGTAGAGACACGAAATCCCAAGTCCCACGGTCTTCGTTTGTTTTTGTCTCCGCTGGGAGAGTGACCCTTAGGCCAACGCTGGCAGGCGGGCCTGGCGCAGGGGCCGGTCCGGGCCTAATTATATGGCAGGCGAAGGAGCCGTTTCTTTCCTTGGCCGAAAGCAGAGCCTAATCAATGGAGCGGGGCAGGCGGGTCGCGGGTGAATGTCGATGGCACTGTCACCGCGTACCCTGTGAAATATCGAGCGACTCCCTGCTAAAAAAAAACAAGACCGTTGTGGACGGACACTAAATTTAGATCAAAGCAAAACTTCATGTATTCATATATAACTGTCGAAAGTAAACCCGACGTGTCCTTTGAATATCCTCCTGAGACCCAAGGAAGAAAGTGTCCTTCAATTTTAGGGTATTTGTCTTTGGAGGAAATAAGGCATCTTACAATTTAGACTTTTTCAAATTTATTTTTATTTTTAATTTCACAGCATGTCCTCTTTAGTGTACAACAGGAATAAATATGTTTCCTTACATCAGTGAAAAGATAGATGCAAAAACAAAATGTCTACTAAAATTGCCGAAAGAGAAAGGGTGGGGTCTCAGGAGGATATTCAAATGACACGTCGTGTTTACTTTCGACAGTTATATATGAATACGTG